TTCTGTTTTGGTTAGATAAACAGTGTAAACTCTATATAACGACACTTTAAATGGAGAGAAATAAAAGATATTATTTTACTATTCTATATGCATTTACCAGTATAGTACACATTTTGCACACGAACATTATTATTCATACATTACGTACAGCCTGTTAACTTCGTCTGATGTTTTTTGCTGCTCCAATATTTTATTTTATTTTGTTACGTATCTTACTCATATATTGAGATACTGCTGGATCAACATGACTATATAAAAAGTATTTTTTTAATAGTTTCGCTGGATCAAGTGCTTGTTTGATGCTTGGTGGAGGGACAGGATCGTCTTCTTCAACAACATACACAGCTTCAGTTCTTATCTATTTGGCAACTTAGAAAGTACTGCTCAATGATTTATAATGCCGCATTGTTGTCGTTAAATAGAGTGAGCGTGGCGCAATATAGAGTGTAATATTGTATAGAAAACAATGTAAACCAACCAAAGTCAAGCAATTTCGAAGTTTTAAGGAGTTTGCCTTAAATCGAGTGACGTTATAAACAGTTTACACTGTTTTAGAAAATACTACAAATGGCGCAGTGAACGCCATCTGTAGCACGATGCTACATTTTAGGATTACGTATGCTCCAACAATTATTTTATTAGTTTACACTGTATTTATTAACAGAAAAAGAAAAAGAACGATGAATTGTAATATCAATATACTTAAGAAGGGACAGAAAACTGAGCGAAAATGTTATTATTAATCATTTTAAACGGAGTCATTATATCCAAACTTTCCTATAGATAATTTAATATGAAAACCAAACTTAACACTGCAATTACTTCACATTAAGCGGTTGATCGATATAGGCGGAGTCATAATAAACGAATTCCACTGCATACAGTATTTTCATTATTCTTAAAGTGCTCTATCTGGTCACGCTGTATGCAAAACCAGACGCCTGTAGGTAACTCCTTCGTTCAACCGATTGTTTGCGTAACCGATTTAAAACATTATCCTTTGCTCTCCCTAACTGTTGACATTCGGACAGTTAGTGCCCATATATTTGGACAAGAACATAGACGGACAAATGTCTCAATTAGCATGTCAGACCTTGTCTCTACGACTACCACCCCACCTTCTATACCTTTACGTGGTGAAAAGAGCGACGCAGGAGCGAACAAACACAATCAATAAAAATAAAACAATAAAACCTGAAGACACCAGCATTCAATAAGATAAATTGTGGTAAAGTGGTTTAAATTGTTATTTTAAAACGACCTATGCATAATAAAAATGTTCTTTACTGTTTCAGTGCCCCCTTTTTTCTACTTCCTGTATAGTATGAGTTCAAACTGTCACTTTGTCCAGTGCACTGTGGTTGTCATTTGTTTTGGGGAACGTTCGTACACTCCTGGCTCAATAACCTTCTATCGGATAAGTGTAAAATTGACAAGGGGGATGAAGTGGCAAGCAGTTCAAGTAAAAGGGGTCGAAAATAACGCAAATGTACAACTGGATAAGGCTCGACCTCGAGGTAGCAATTACTAAAAGAGAGCTAATTTGGAAAGTATACAAAGCGTGACATGAAAAGTTGATGAATGGACGGCTCTGTAACGAATCACTACCTGCTATAGCACGTCCGGTCATTATGTTATTTTAATCTGTACATTTTTACCGAAACACGTTGTAAGGAGCACCTGACATATCATAATGTCAATATAGTAAATATACATCCCTTATTCATCATCATAAAGTCGTCAATCCTAAGACTGTTTGGATACACACCTCTACTCCTTCCTATCCTTAGCTAATCTTTGCATTTCCCTAAAACTAAAACATCCAGCATACTTAATTATTTGCGAACAGTAATCTAATTTAGGTCTACCTCCACCCCTCCTAACTCCCGTTTCTGCATCTAATATGTCTCTGACTAGACCTTCATGCCTGAGAAGGTGTCCTACCAACCTGTCTAGCCTATTTATTATAGACTTCCGTAGAGTCCTCTGTTCTATTCTTTCTAATATCTCTTCATTTCTAACCTTCTCTATCCACGGTATCCTCATCATTCGCCGATAACACTACGTCTACCCCTCCTAACTCCCGTTTCTGCATCTAATATGTCTCTGACTAGACCTTCATGCCTGAGAAGGTGTCCTACCAACCTGTCTCGCCTATTTATTATAGACTTCCGTAGAGTCCTCTGTTCTATTCTTTCTAATATCTCTTCATTTCTAACCTTCTCTATCCACGGTATCCTCATCATTCGCCGATAACACTACATTCCACACATACACCTTTAGCAATCATTTCTAAATTAATTATTCGCGAGCATAGAAGTGACTTCTTTTTATTAAAGGCGACTCGACCCTGCGCTATCCTCTGCTTTATATCCCTACTGCTCCTTCCGTCCTGACTTATTTGACTTTCTAAATACCTAAAATCAGCCACTTCTTCTAAACATTCGTCCCATATCTTTATATTCCTTCATCATTATCTTAAGATCGTCAGGTTGAACACCCACTTCCACTCCTTCCTATCCTGAGCTAGGTCTACCTCTACCCCTCCTAACTCCCATTTCTGCCTCTGATATGTCTCTGCCCAGACCTTCATGCCTGAGAAAATTTCCTACCAACCTATCCCGCCTATTTTTGATTGACATCCACAGAGTCCTCTATTCTCCTATTCTTTCTAATACCTCTTCATTTCTAACCTTCTATATCCACGGCATCCTCATCATTCGCCTGTAACACCACATTTCGAACGCTTCCAACCTTTTCTTTTTCGCCGCGCCCACCGTCCATGTTTCGCACCCGTACAGCACCGCTCTACAAACATACACCTTTAACAATCATTTCCGAATTTCTAAATTAATCTTTCGCGAGCATAGAAGTGACTTCTTTTCATTGAAGACGATCCGACCATGAGCTATCCTTTGCCTTATATCCCTACTACTCCTGACGTATTTGACTATCAGCCACTTCTTCTACCAATCCTTCGTCTCCTATCTTTACATCCCTTATTAAGTATTAACAAAAATGCAATTTCCACGCGACAGACAGCCGTGCCCAATGCTAACAGGTTAAGTATAAGGAGAGAATGGTGATCGGGTGGACCCGCCGGAGATGCCACCGATAAGGGTATAAATCTGCCGTCCCCGATGTCGTTGTTTCAGATGGGACAAGTGAAGCCGTGTCGCTGATTCCAAGCACCAGATAGCACCGCCACGCGGTAGCACCGTTCGCATACTTTATATTGTAATATAATCGCACAAGACGAAGAGAGGGTCGACCCTCTTTTTCTTCTTCTTTTGCTTCTACTGTTGCCGCCACCACCAGAATAAAGAAGCGCCGAAGTTCCGCGAGATCGTAAATTGTCCAGCAAGGAAGGTTAGGTAATGCACCATACACAAGTTCAAATGTAAAAGGAGTTTTAAAATATTCTTTGCGTCACTTGGTTTAACCAATCGTATTGAACATGCTTTGCTGCAGACCAATCACCGTCGACTATTGATACATCATGCAGCTTGCAGAAAACCGAACTCCACAACTGTAGTTATCGGATTGAGCAATGTTGTTTAGAGTTTTATTAGAGTATTATTGATTGACGTACTTTTGCCACAACATTTTCTGTCTAATACACAAACTGGGGAAAAACATGACATGCTAGTGGTTACATCAGACACTAAACAACCTGTCTAGAGATGATTTAAAGAAAACCATGGCATGTTAGTGGTTACATCAGACTCTAAACAACCTGTCTAGAGATTATTTAAAGAAAACAATGGCATGTTAGTGGTTACATCAGACTCTAAACAACCTGTCTAGAGATGATTTAAAAGTCGTGTAGCATCCTACTGTATATACTCATGTATATAGGTTTTATATCAAAAAAGTTGATACTGTAAAACCTATAAATTTTTAGGTACTACCTTATTGGTATCCTCAATTTCAATAGGTAATATTAGTATTATCCAGAGATGTAATTTATTTGAAATACTTGCATTTAAAATGCAAAGACAAATTAAAAAATACCTATTTTAACTTGCATTTAAATTCTTTTTTAAATGAATGATGATAATGAAAAATACATTTTTGCCTTTAAAAGTTTTGCTAGTATCGCCGATCAAACATTATATAAAATGACGAATGAAAGTTGCTCAAGTTGTCTTCTAATTCGTTAACAGAAGAGAGCCCTAAAAATTCTAAACTCTTTGGAATGAATAATCTAAAATATTGGATCGATATTGTTTTCCGTGTTCAATGCCATGGTCCATAGAATTTTGATGTTCCAAACTGATATCAGCACCTGCCAAATCACCACTCATCATACCTTTAGCAAGAAACTACGAAATTCTATGAATTACGACAAAACAGCCCCCAAAACAATATCGAATTGATATATGCCAGCTGTGTAAAACAATAAACTACAAAATATTGTGGTGTGCTAATAAATGCGTTTAATCCAAAATTCTTAGAAAACGATTCGAAAATCTTCACTTATTAGATGAACCCAAAGCTAAAGAAACTATGGATTCCATTTCTTTCTCTTATTACAATGTGTAAAAGATCGGAAACACAATGGTATTGTAAATATTTTGATATAAAATGATTGATGTTGATTTTACATCAATAAAATTATTTGCAGCCCTATTTTGGCTCTGATATTTCACGCTAAACAAACTATTTTGGCATCAGTGTCTTTTTTCCAATTAAAACGGGTGACAAGGGCAAATAAGGAAGCATATAGAACAATTATTTGTTGCTGAACTGAAGAAACTATAACATAAAGATAGAAAAACTGTACCCAAAACTTTTACATTTGAAATAACGAATCAAAAAGGTATTTGCATTTTGTATTCAAATACTTACTTTTAAAAAACCATTTTGCACATCTCTGGTGTTATCTGCAACGCTATTTATTCTGCTCAATACCGCGCAACTACCCTTATAATACGATTCTAATCAATGACCTTATCAATGAACTATGAATGAACCTTTAAATACTACAGAATTCCTACCTTGCTTTGAGTGGCGTAGTCTAGGGCTAGCATGCAGTCATTGTACCCGTTTTCTGTCTTGATGGTGGTGGCCATGGGTCCGCACAGCTGACCTAATTGACCACCTACAGAGTCGGCTCTGTACCAGGGATACATGTCTCGCACTCTAAAGCAAACAGAAAAGAAAAACATTATTTACTTTTTAATTGTAATCACAACTAAAACAATTCGTACACAAAACTTTCGATCAATTAAAAATTAATTAATTACTATAAGAGTCTCATTCAAAACTAATTTTACACAAAACATCTGTGAAGTTTCGGGCATATGAACAGAGCCGGGATGATCTTTTTCGATGTTTTTGACTTTTGTGCATGATATGATATATAGGGTGCAACTGAAATAAATGTCAAGTTTGCAGAAGATGATAGTGCACTATAAAAAATAAAAATTAACTAAATGTTTGTATGTCTGATTCACCGTTCTCGAAAAAAACGTAGTGAATTCAATTCCGGGCCTGGTAAAGAACTACGGTCCGCAACGCTGCACTCAATCGGCTGGTGATTACCAGCATCAGTGTAAGTTTTGGAAACAAGAAAAAGTTACAGGGGGGTAGGTTTGGGGAATGCGGTGGCTGCGGCAGTATTAGTGTATTGTTTTTGGCCAAAAATTCGCCCACATGCTACTATGTGTGAGTAGGGGCGTTATCATGGTGCAAAAGTCAATTTTTATTCTTTCACAAATCCGGGCGTTTCTGACGGATTGCTTCGCGCAAATTACCCATAACTTGCAGGTAATATTCCTTATTGACCGTTCTACCCTGTGGTAAGAATGCGTGACGCACCACGTCCCTGCAATCGAAGAAAACTGCAAGCAAAACCTTCACATTCGACCTAACTTGGAGCGCTTTTTTTGGTCTTGGCTCGTTCGACAGCTTCCATTGGGATGACTGAGCTTCGGTTTCCACCTCATAACCGTAAACCCATGATTCGTTACCAGTTATGACCCTCTGGAGCAAATTTGGATCGTCGCGGACAGAGTCCAGCAGCTCCTTAGCAAAATTAATGGGATGCTCTTTTTGGTCGAAATTGAGCAATTTTGGTAGGAATTTCGCGGCGACGCGTCTCATGTCCAAATCATTAGTAAAAATCAATCAATCAATTCGATATGTTTAGGTCATCAGCAACTTCTTTAACGGTGATTCGACGATGGGTCAGTACTATTTTAGACCCGACTTCTTTTTTCTTACATACACCATAAAGGAAATCCCTGTTCAAAGTTTCAGCTTTCTAGGTCCATGAGTCGCAGAGCCAGAACTTATCTCTTTATAACTGTTAATACTTGAATTATCCTTTTCAATCCTTCATTCCCTTAAAATTTCCTGCCGGCCGCCGGTATAGCCATAATTGACGACTTTTAATTGGCTCCAGAGATACAAGCAGTCGGGGAATTCTTCAAAATTCCACACGCGTTTTGCCTATTGTCTTAACATAATGAAAACTATATAAATTATATGTCTAGTCTTGCTTCCCCTCGCGTATGGGACGTTTAAACGTATGGGTTATATATATATATATATATGTATCCGTATCTAATAACAAAAC